ATTTGCCCCTGGCATACAAACTTGTAGACATAACCTGCTGCATGTTCACTGAGGTTGGTCAGGTCTTCTGATAATTCAGCTGTAGGTGTGAATCACATCTCTTAGATTCATGAAAGTTTAATTTCTGATCCAGTTGTGATATGAAAAAGGTACATTTTAAGCAATTCTGAAAGAAGTAACATAGTGTGTGGCATCATTTCACATTTTGTTCCATTTGAATTGACCTGTTTATCTTATACATATGTATTTTTTGTAGGACAATGAACATGGATACAGCAGCAAAAATACCAGGAGGTTTCTAAAGCAACCAAGCAAAAAACAAAATTGCCCTGCACAGATAAACATAAAGCAGGTCCTGTTGTTCCCAGAATTCCAGGTAAATTTGTGTTTATTGATTATGCCATACAAATGGTGTTGCATGTGAGAATATGCAATAGGAAGTTGGCTTTCCAGGAAAAAATATGTCTGTTCATGAAGAGATTTTCTGTGGTAATATGAATTGAAGTTCAAGTGACTGAGTAAAATAGTTCAGTTTTCTTATTAATTAGATATACTACATTGTTTTGATTGAATTAAGAATGTTTTGTTTTGACGTTGATATACAGTAATTTGTATTTGTTTTTCTCATTCTTCTTAGGTTGATGATGCTAAATCTGAGTTTAAGCGAAAGAAAAAAAGCAAAGAATTGAAGGAAGCTCTGGGGTCTGACTCTCGCCTGAAGGTCAAGGTGCAGTTCCATGTAACCCTCCCAGATCCTGTCAGTGGGCATGAAGGTCATCCTGTTGGAAATGTAAGCCAGAGATTGTCTGCTCTGTTGAGGAGAGGTCATGGAATGTTCTCATCATGACACTTCCAGCACAGTAATGTTCCAAGGATCATGAAAACTTACCATTACAACAACTTGAGTTCGATTTTATTGATTTCATTTGCATTACCAAGGCACTATCAAACAAATAAAAGATAAAGGCACGCCTAATTTTGACCTCATGCCTGTGAGGGCAAGTGACTCATTGTAGCAGCTTATTTGGCAATTGGGCAAGGGTAACAAGCAAACATGATCCTGCTGATAACCAAATCCTCATCCTGCCAATTTTGATGCCGATCTTGCCTATTATCCTGACCCAATAATAAATCATGCTTATGGAGTCTCGTCAGGTTTTGATGAATTTATTGATCTTGCATTTCCTTTGCATGACTACCTTACCTTTACAATTTGTTTCAGGATGCTGTGGCCTGTTTAAGAAAAACATTTGACAAACAAGTTGGGGAAAAAATACGGCAACTTAAAGCTGGTGTTTCCAAGGTTCCTGATTTACAGCGCCACCTGAGTCTCTCTGCTGATACAGTTGCAAAGGATGAGAAGTTGGATGTCAACATTTTGGATCAGCGATTCTTCCCAACAGAGGCTGACCTCAAGAATCGTCTCTACCATGCAGTTTTGTCAATAAAGAAATCCTTGGTTGACCAAGAGAATATAGAAAAAACTTTTGAAAATTGGCAAAAGGCAAACCCAGAAGACAAGATCTTTTTGCGGTACAATAAAGCTGATGACAATCTCCTATTTGTTTACCAAACATCATTTCAGCGGCATTTGTTTAATAAGTTTGGAGGGGAGTTGGCCCTTCTTGATGCCACGCACTGCACTACCAAATACTCGTTGCCTTTATATATTTTGGCCGTCAAAACAATGACTACCAGCCTGTGGCAGTGTTTGCGACTATAAATGGACTATAAATGGATCAAAGCAATTCATTGCTGAGGCACTGCAAATTGTCAAGGATTGGAATTCAGAATGGAAACCAACTTTCTTTTTCACTGAGTTCTGTGATGAAATAAATTCACTAAAGGAAACATTTCCAGGTAATCTTATGTGTGCTTTAGATTTATATAGGCTGACTAAACTAATTCAGAGGTAAATGTATATATGTTGGGGTATTATTCAGGGTATTTAAAGTTATCTATCTCCCACAGGGCAGAATGTTTACCCTGCTCCTATTTCTTATTTCTATCAAATTAAGATGATTAGATTGGATGTTATTCATATCTTTTGATCACTTGGGTATAGAATTCATGTGACATCTTAATTTGCTGAATCTTCCTATCTTTCATTTCATATCCATGTATGAGTAAGTAGGCATTACACTTAAGTGCTGATATAAGACCTTCACTCATGTCACTGTTGTGGTTGCATTTGTACCTGTGTTTTGTAAGTCGGGCCTCTCAACATCAATGAACACTGTTTTATCTATTATTACGATGCCAAAATGAAAAAAATATATCCAGATGCATCAGAAGTTCATGGTGAAGGCTCAGGAGGGAAGGTTAGGTTAGAAAGAAGATACACCACCTTTATAAGTCGCTGTAGCAGAGCAGGAAGGCTGCATGCCGCAAAGGCTTTCCACTGTCCCTGAATAATCATTAGGAATCTGTTGCTTATACAATTACTACTCCAAGCAGAAGTCATCCCCCTGCTGTGATTTCTTCAGAAATTTTGCATTTT